GCGCTCGGCGTCACCCGGCCCGGTGCCGTCGGGTGACGCCAGGCCGAGGGTGCCCGAGGGCAGGTAGTACTCATAGGTTCGGGTGAGGCACCAGCGGCGCACGTTGAACTTCTTGGTGGTGCGCTGCGCATGGTCGGGTGGGGGGGATGACAGCATGATGACATCATCTGATGGGGCTGGTCGCACTGGCAGACACGGGGATGAAACCGCAAGCACGTCTGCTGTGTCTGCACGCAGTGACGCGCCGTTCTCTTATGGGGGTGGTCATCCCACCACCCCTGTGCCAAATCGGATCCGCGACCCAGACGCTGCGCTGGAGCATCGTGCCCAGCCATCGCGCCCCTCTCTCAAAGGACCTACCTGCACCGACAGCACGCGCACTGAGGCCGGCAGGTGGGCATTGACCATCCGCGCAAAGGCGATGCCCTCGGGGTCGACCTCGAACAGGGTGTCCTGCAGCAGCAGGCGCACACTGATGACCTGCGGGGGCGAGCGGTCAATGTCGATCACATTGGTGCTCCCCCGGCTCGAGACCCAGGGGCGCGGGGTCTCAAGTGTGAGGCGCCAGGCAGCATGCTAGAGGGGCCACGCGGGGCCGAACAGTGCAGCACACGGGGTTCCAAGCGTCGATCGCCGCGGCTGCTCTCCGTTGCCGCCGGCCGCCCCTCCAGCCACCACGGCCCCCCGCCGCTCCACCCAGAGTACCCGCGCCGCGCTCGCGCGCGCTGCCCACCGTGCATAGGGAGTGGACGCCCTTGTCTGTCCTGCTGCTGCGCGCCCACTTGGTCTTCCGGAAGTCCCCGTAGTTGGCCTCAGAGATCATGCCCGCCTCAAACAGCGCGCGCTCGAGCACACCCTCCACCGTGGCCTGCTGCGGCATGTCCCGGTTGGCCTGCAGGCCTGGGGCGTCGGGGTTTGGTCGCGGGGCGGGGTTCAGGCAGATTATGATGGCGCGCGCCGTAAAGCTGCGCGGAGCGGTGGTCGGGCGAGGTCGCTTCAGGGAGCTGCTGGAAGCGTGGCGGGCAGCAAACGCACGATGGACAAGGGTTCACTAGACGCCACTCAGCTGGGCTTCGCCGGACCCCGCTTTGCTCATGGTCAAGTGTTCAATGCTGGACGACCAACCCACCGCTGAAGTCCGTGCCCACGTAACCGATGTGCAGCGCCACCGTGCGCTTGCGCAGGCGCCCGCCGCTGCCGTCATCAGCGGCCGTGTCCGCGCCCGCGTCCTCGTCAGGGGCTGCTGCGGCGCTCAACGGTGACCCATCGGCAGGCGCCCCAGCCATGCCACTTGCGCGGACGAGGGTCCGCACAAATGGGGCTAGGCGGCAAGGGGTGGCGCGGGCGAGCACCGTTTTGGTGACAGTACGGCGGCTGCCGCCACGAGCCGAGGTGGGCGGTGCGTGCGGGGGCTGGTGTGCCCGCAGCGTAGACATGAGACTATCCGTTGCTTAGTGTCAGCGTTACTTTCAGGCTCCTGTGTCATGCAATTTGACGTTGACGTGTGTGTCACAGCAAGTGATCTGGCACATCTGTCGTATAGTGCTTGATGTGCATTGAAGATGGACGCATGCACAACAGTCAGTTTGAAGGGCTGCTAGGCAACCATACATATCGCGAGGGTGGCACTGCACGCACGCAGGCTCCAAATTACAAGTCCTAGTTTGGCCCCTTGACATCAAACAGGCTGAAAAGCGCTGATTTATCATATCATGATTCTCAGGCAGCTGATTACAAGCGCACGTCACCCACGGCTCGCCGCGTGGGTGGCGCCCGCCTGGCCAACCGGGCATGCCAGCGATGCCACGCTTGCTTCCTCCGCTGCGGCACCGCCCTCCAGCCCGGGCCAGCAGCCGCCTGTCCTGGTGGAGGACCGCGGCACGCATGCTATCATCACCCTGAATAGACCCAAGGCGCTCAACGCGCTGTCGGCCGAGGTGGGCGCGTGCGGGCGTGATTTGTCAGCCCCGCATTGGGGCGCTCCCGGTCCTTCTGCATCCATAAGTCAGGCCTTCCCATTGGCTGGACCGTGTGGGATTGCAAGTCCAGGATGCACACATACACAATATAAACAGCTATACGCTGAGCTGGAACCCTGGCATCCCGGCTTTCCAAAAGGTCTTTCTTTTCACCTTGCAGTGCAACGCTGATTTGCTCCCGCCGCCCCGCGCAGCTCTGCCACGCGCTGCTGTCGGCGGTGCGCTCCCTGGATGGCGACCCCCGCCTGGGCGCCATCGTCATCACGGGCAGCGGGCGCGCGTTCGCGGCAGGGGTGGACATAAAGGAGCTGGAGGGGCTCAGCCAGGAGCAGGTGCGTGCGCGGCGCGCGTGCGTGTGTGTGTGTGTGTGTGTGTGTTGGGGAGGACCGGCACATGCACATGCTGCTGAATCATGCAGAGTGCTCCAAGCGCTGGGCAGCCTTGGCTGATGTAATACGCCTCCTGAGCCCCCTCCGACCTGCGGTACTCCGGCCCCATCCCCACAACCGCCCGCCATTCAGCCACGCGCCAGCGTGCCGCGCCTCACCGACGACACGGTCCTGCATCTCCCACAATACTGCACCCTGGCTTGGGCAACGCCCGCCTGCTGCAAAACCTGCCGCAGCTCTGGCGCCTGGTAGCTGTCGCAACCTGCCCATAGCATCGCAATTCACTGCCATCAGCCCTTTGGCCAGTCACAGGCCGTGTTGCCACGTCCGTCCGCCCCGCTCGTCCCTCTGCGCCACGCCCTCTCAGGCGCGGCAGGTGCGCCCCGTAGAGCTGCTGGACGGCCTCGCGGCCGTGGCCACCCCGCTGGTGGCCGCGGTCAACGGCTATGCGCTGGGCGGCGGCTGCGAGCTGGCCCTGATGTGTGACATCATCGTGGCAGGGGAGGCGGCGGTGTTTGGACTGGTGGGTGCATGGAGTGTGGCCTTGATGAACTTGATTGAATGTGTTCCGCAGAGGCTTTGCAGTCAGTCGAAAGGGCGAGGCAGTGGCGCGGGAAGGCCGGATTAGGTGGGCATGACTTCAAGGATATATAGGCGAGGGGATTCGGCTGTGCGCTTTGAGCCTGCGTTTCTTGAAGCAGGGATCCCCCAAGTGGGCAGATACAGACGTTTTTCACACAACCGCACCTTGCGCTGCGTTCACCCCGGCCGCTGCTGGCTGGCGGCCCGCTGCGACTGGCCTAGCCCAACAACCTCCGACCCCGCTCTGTCTCACCCCCTTTTCTACGAGTCTCACACCCTCCTCCTCTTAACCCTCCCCTCATGGACCCACTCAAACAGCCCGAGCTGCAGCTGGGGGTGATGCCCGCAATGGGGGGCACCCAACGGCTGCCGCGGCTGGTGGGGCGGCCCCTGGCTATGGACGTCGTGCTCACGGGGCGCAGGTGCGTGGGGATCTGCACGGCAGCCTGACGGACGGAAGCTGGGGAGGCGGGCGGCAAAAGGCCGCGCAGCTTGCACGCGCCTGGAGCACCAGCGAGGGCGCTGCTTCAAGCTGGACTCTCATGCAGGACATGTGGAGGTGTCAACACGGGCAGACACAGGCAGGCTGTGCGTTGAGCCCCTGGCGATGGTGGATGAAGAGGTCTCCATGACTAACGGCACGCTGCTGCGGCCAGCCATGCGCCCTGCTAGCGAGCCACGCTGCGCAGGTTTCACTGGACCAGAGCACTGCCACGCCCGCCCCTTGCGACGCAGGCTCACTGCCCAGGAGGCGCTGGCCGCCGGCCTCGTCAGCCGCGTGGTGCAAGACCCCGTCGCGGTAGCTTCAGCGATCGCGGCGCGTGTCGCGTCGTCGACGCCAGCCGGCGCGGCGGCGCGCGCCAAGGCGGCGGTGCGGGCGTCCGAGGCGCTGCCAATTGCGGAGGGGCTGGCGCTGGAGCGGGAGTTGTTTTACTCGTGCTTTGGGCCTGAGCAGAAAGAGGGGATGGCGGCGTTCAGGGAAAAGCGGCCACCCAAGTTCCGGTGAGACTGCCTCACATGCACACGCGTGGTTGGCACCAGAGAAAGCAGGGCCTAAAACGAAATGGGGGATTGCGCCCAATGAGTTTGGTGATCACCACCACTCATTCGAGGCGCCCCTTCCTGGTGTGAAGCTCCAGCAGCGACGTGGCGCGCCATGCGCCGCACACCACATGGCCGCGGCGCCTGGGCGGGCTGCCCGGGGACGTCTCTGTGGACAAAATCGAAGCGCGCCCAGCCTTCAGCGCCTGGTGTGTGCTTGGTTACAATACGGGGAGTTGTTGTTGTTTACAAGCCTGGTTTTTTTACAGTACAGCGAGCTTGTTGTGGGGGCTGCAACCCTGCTGAGGTCTTGTTCAGTGGCACAGGCCGGGGCAATGGCCACGGCTGCTCTTTTGCTTGGGCTGTTGAGCAATCATCTCAACTGGCTGGGGTCGATTTTTTTACCATCGCCCCTCGACTGAACGCAAGCAGGCCCAGGACGGGGGGTGCCGCGGGGCGCCGTATGATGAGCCTCCAAAGAGCCTGATTTCATTTTGCCTCATGGCCAATCGCATCCTGCCCTTTTTCTGCATCCTGAATAGTGGCATGTTGTTACCAACCCACCAATGTTGCGAGGTAAGCAACTGCAGCACCAGGTGTGCGGGGCGCATTCTTTTATGGGGTCATCTCACCAAGATTTGGGGTGCCACCTACATGCGCAGTGGAGGGAATCAGTTGCAACGTGCTGGGTGCGGTCCTGAGCCAGATGACAACAAGCACGCAGCGTCTGTCATGACTGATTCCATCCATTCGTGTGTCCGCCTCCCATGCTTTTGGCGCTGCACCCGTTGAGCTTGGGTAAATTCCAGAGGTTTGACTGGAAACTTTGATTCCAGCCGGTCAGCTGAAATTCCGGTACTGTATCAGTGGCTCACTTAGAGCGAGTGCAGATACCAGGCGCAAGGTCACGGGCGTCTGATACAAAGCTGATTGTACCTGATCGCACAGGTTGTCGTGCCGCGTGTGACACTACTGGCTGGGTCGGATGCAAATGTGCGCCAGATGCTGGACAGCCTGCGGAGGGCGCTGCGGTGCGCTGATGTAAGTTAGTGCAAGGATATTGTTGGCGGGAGGCTGTCCGTCCTGCAGGCGCTCTTGGACTAGGTGGCCCTGTGTGGTGGCGGGCTGCTGCGTGACACCCTGCTCCACGCGGAGGTGCGGCGCATCACGGCGAGGTGGCTTCTTCTGCGTCAAAGCGGCGCCGCACTGGAGAGGCGAGGCGTCGCGGGCGGGTAAGGGCCGGGGGCCGCGCCCTCGCGTGGGCAGGGGTGCATGCAAGTGCTGCTTGCAGCAGAGGCATCCGGGTGACCACTGCCCAACCCGCCGCCAGCCGCAGTCTGGGGCCAGCGTGCTGGCCGCTCGTCTTCTCGTCTGGCATGGGTACTCCTGCTTTTGCGTCATCAAATCGCTTGTGATTCCCGTCGTGATAAGGCGGCTCTATGGGCGCCTGCGGCGCTGGCTGCGTTGTCAGCGGCAGCCCAGGGGCAGGCAGCGCACGGCAATGCAGTGCGGGCGAGTGGCAAACCCGGATGAGGGGGCACAGTGTTGTTGCCACGCCATGCCACGCGCATACACGCTTCAAGAGAATCACTAGTGATGGCATCAAATTGTCGAGGTGTCCTGCAGTCATAGCCTTGCTCCACGGCATGGTCGGCAGATCAGCTGAGCTGACCAGGTGACCAGCCGCAATTCGGAGGGTGAGTGACAGGGAGATTGTGGCCGGAGCAAACACCTGTACTTGCTTGTCGTTGCTATTTCAGTACATCGATTGTACGAAGGACAACATCGTGCGCAAGCAGTAAATCCGACATCTTCGCTGCGCGAAAAGAGGACCCTTGCTCCTTTTAGGGAAGAGAGGAGTTCCTGACGCTGTTTCTGAAGGTGCAGTGCAACTCTCCTTTGAGAGCTGCGTGCAAGGGCCTGCGGGAACCGGACACAGGCTGCTGGCACGGGTCACTTGGGATGTCGAGTGCAGCGCTGGGCGTCAAGACAGATAAAATGTGGCGTGAAAGCGCTCGATTTTACAGACTGCAGCACACATCACCACCATGCGGCCCAGCCGAAAGGGTGGCTGACTGGGGGCCATCGTTTGGGCGCGGTCCGCAACAGTGCAACCTGGCTTCAGTTGGTGCAGTTCTGCGCACCCCCTGTGCTGCCAGGTCCAGGATTTGAGCAGCAGATCTGGCAAAGGGCAACATACTCATCCTCGTTCACCCCCGCATCTGGCTAAAAACTGGCAGACTGGACACTGGAGCGCTGGCGTCCGGTGCCGGCAGGGACACCGCCGCACTGCATTTGCGGCACCAGAAGCCTAACGTAAACGGACGGCAGCCATGCACTTGCAGCGCAGCCCTGCAGGAGCGGCCGGCAGCATGCTAGGCTGTGCATTCGCCCTGATCTTGCTGCTCCAAATTCAGAGGTGGGCGCAAATCCCAGTTTGTGATCAACGTTGTTCCCGTGTCATGCATGTCAGATGAGGGCAGCTGGGTGCGGGGACCTCACCCACGAATGGTCGCATGGCAAGCTGTACCCAGAGACCCATCCATAAACCCACCAATCCTCCCCCCCACGTCGACATCAGCTCTGTCAAGGCTGCCGCCAACCCAGACAACAGCGGCAAGCGCTACAGCGCTGAATATGTGAGAACCCGCAGTTTACAGAATGCAGTTTGTACAACGCTGCTGCTGCTGTTGCGGCTGCTGTTGCGGCTGCTGCTGCGGCTGCTGCTGCTGCGGCTGCTGCTGCTGCTGCTGCTGTGGCTGCTGCTGCTGCGGCTGCTGCTGCTGCGGCTGTCGCTGCTGCGGCCGCTGCTGCGGCTGTCGCTGCTGCGGCCGCTGCTGCTGCGGCCGCTGCTGCTGCTGCTGCTGCTGCTGCGGCTGCTGCTGCGGCTGCCGCTGCGGCTGCTGCACTATTCAAGGCTTTTCGCATCAATCGCCCTTCGCGAAGCGCAGGCGGCCCCTTCGATCGACTTTTTGGATGTATGACCCCATGCACTCAGAACCACGTGTCATTCCCCGTCTCTTCAGGGCTATGTCACCTGCCAGGCCGATGAGGTGGTCAAACCCACGTCCACCGCGTCCCTGGTCAAAACAATCAAGAGCCTCGTGCAGCGCGCCGCGAAGGAGGGGCGCGGCCTCAAGGTCCGCGCCTCGCACTACGACTTCGGCAGCACGGTGCCGTTCCCCTGCCCCGGCGGGGAGAATGCCACCGGTGCGGCCGCGCCACTGCGCGTCGGCGTGCTGACCTCGTCGATGAAGCGCGTGCTGTCCACCAACAAGCAGCTGAAGCAGATGCGCGTCGGCGCGGGCATGGCGCTGCGCGACTTCCTGCCGGCCGCGTCGAGGGCCAAGCTGTCCGTCCCCCGGGCTCTGCTGCCGGTGAGCCACAGGAAGAGCAGCGGCGCTGCTTTGAGCTCTTGCAGGGCGGGCCCGTGGCTTTTCCAACATGCAAGCCGGCTAACTACATATTAATTGCGGTCTGGTGCACAGCACACAAGGGCCTGTTACCCTTGCATCTTTCAGCCCCTCACTCGTCGACGGGCCAACACGTCCTTCCCTGCTGCCCAGTGGTGGGGCGACCTCAACATTGGGGGCATCGTGTCGGTCGCTGGCCATGGGAGTGGTCAGGGCGCCCCCGTCGAGGTGGTGAGTGGCCGCGGCCGCGCTGCCGCCGCTGGCCGGGAGTGCAAGCATCTTCATTCGGCCGTGCCCTGGAAGTGTACCACGTTGCCTTGATCACTTCATCATTGTGTGGCCAAGGGCCAATTCATATCGTTTGTGCTAAGCACTCTTCTACCCTGCGTGATCCTGCATGGACCAGCAGAGCGCACACACGAACCGCAGTGGCCCTTTAATGCGCGCCCGCACGTGAGCACGCTGCCTGCCCCCTTCTCTCATGCATCACATAATCAGTGTGAAATCGTGACGTCCATAACCTGGGTGGACGCGAGTGGCACAGTCCGAACAAGCGACAGCACCACAGAGGAGTGGCGCGCGCTCTGTGGCGGCATCGGGCTCCTTGGTGCGCCTTTCTGCAGGCCTTGCCAAGGCTGCAGTGCGCTTGCCGCGCCCAATCGTGCAACAGATTCAATGAACTGCAGTGCCTGTCGTACCTCAAACCTGCATCCCATGTTTTGGTGACGAATTTTGCTCCTCACAATGCAAGCACTCCTTTTCGTGCCTGCCCACGTGCGTCGCCCCTCAGGCATCATCACCGAGGTGACCTTCCAGCTCACGGATTCGACCAACACCCAGATCTCAACCAGGATCCAGGTCAGCGATGCCAACCTCGCCAGTGATCTCAACGACGAGCTGATCTCCAAGGTGAGTGCCAGGACCACTCCGCCACCGACAAGCGCAGGCCCTTTGCACTGTATGTCGCGTCAGGGTTCATTGCGGCTGTGCTTGTTGTCGGTTTAATTATAAGTTGGCCTGCAAAACCGCAGGCATTCGTTGCATCACAGGTGTGCCGCCCTGCAGGTGTTGGTGCACACCTCTCCACGCCTCTCTGCACCAGCCCAGCGATGCTCTTCTGCGTGATGCGGTGATGCGGTGCCGTCCAAGCTGACCGCCTTGCCGGTCCCCCCGCCTCTCGGCACGTCTGTAGGCGATAACGCTTTATTGGAGGCCCGACTTTGGGGTCTACACCGCCCACCTCCAGACGGACGCACCCTCCGGCAAAGACAAGAGCCTCAACATCACAAAGGGCGCGCGCGGCGTGATCGTGCCGCAGCTGGACCCGGACGCCAACGCCCGCAAGACCCAGGGCGCCGGCCTCAAAGCAGTGAGCACGATCCCCTTCTTCGAGCTGCCCTATGACAACGGGGAGAGCCTTGTCTGCCAGAGCGCCATTGGGATCACGACCACCCCCTGGGCCCAGGTCAGCACGTTCCCGCCAAAGACAAAGGGCAAGCGCGCTGTTGACATCTTCGACGGCAGGGTGGTGACGAACGACGTGCAGACGTTTGTGTGCTCCAACAACAAGGTGGAGCTGTGCTCGTTCTCCAACCCGGAGCTCGACGCCACCAACTCGGTGAGGCGGGCAGCTGCCTATGGCTGGAGGCCCAATGTTTGGGGCTCGCCTTGCTCGCTTGCTTTTGTCGTCCACAGGTTGCTCGACCCGCTAGCTGGATGCTGCAGCTCTGCTGCTACTTTGCTGGTCAAAACTTTTGTCAACGACCATGACTCGAGCGCGCCTCCGCGTACACAGCACAGGCAGGACACCCACGCATGCTGTGGCTGTCCTGCCTTTCCAATATGCACACAATCAACCCTGCAATGCTTGGGCAAAGCAGCAGTGCCGATTTTCGCGACCCCAGAATGCCTAACTCATTCCATACTCAACGGCACAGGACACGGAGATGGCTGTGGAGAAGGCGCGCATACCGGAGCTGATCGCAGACGTCAAGAAGCTCATCGCTGTTGACCTGCGCGGCTACGGCAACGTGCCCGACGGCTCCAAGCGCTGCCTGCCGCCAGGCTACTTCAATTTCCGCTTCACAAACCCCAGCAAAACGCTCATCGGCCCAGGCGCCGGCCTGGCTCAGCCTGTGCATGCGGAGGTGCGCTTTCTTGTCGGCGGCGGCGTCTTGACCATCGCTTTTGTGTGGCGTGTGGGGGCAGGGGCAGCAGCCATACGTCCCACGCACCCAGGGGTGCAAGGCCATGGCGCCCCCTTGCTGGAGCCTGTCCCTGTCCCACTGCCTGCCCTGAATAATGCGCAGTTGGTTTTTCAGATCACGCATCTCATCATTTGATGCTGCCCCGCCTGCCAGTCCAGAGCCGACAGAAGGCGACTGACTCAACCGCTCCCCCCCCGCCATCACCACCACATGCAGCTGACTGTGATCTACAGCCGCAGCATCCCCGGGAGGCCTTTCAGGTACGAGTGGGTGCAGGAGATATTCGAGCAGCTGCTGCTCTGCAAGTACAACGGCCGGCCACGTAAGTACACCCGTGCTGCCCTGCTGGTGTCCTGCTGTTTCTGCTGCCCCCGCCTTTGCCGCCATCCTTGCATGTCCTCTCTGCCTCCGCGTGTTGGAATGGCTGTGAGCTGAAGGGTCCGTGCTGCACTCCTACGCTGCTCCCTCTGTTGGGCTGTAGCCAGGGCCGTGCCCGCTGGCGTGCGTCACCCACGCATCCCCCGACCCAACCTGCTACCCCGCCCCTGCCCCGCCCTGTCCTCCCT